AATCTGGACATAGAAGTATAATAAATCTTACACCTGAACTATTACAACGCTTTCATTGTTATCTTTTATGACTGAAAATAATTAATATCAGGATAATGAAATCCATAACAATATTATATTTAGTATCTGTCATTACTCATTAATGCAATGGATAAATATAGGTATCTTCGTAGTAGACTCACATATTGACTTAAATAAATTTATCAGATTAGTAAATGGATCAGAAAAATATTCACTATATCAATATATTATTGGCAATCTTTGAATAAAAAGCTTCAATCTGAAATATTTCTAAAAATAACAAATGACAAGTTTATTTCTATCTAATAAATAAATAGTTTATGAAAGTCAATTAGAATGATTATTATTTATACTTCTAACTTATATACTACTTATACATTTTTTTAATGATAACTTATTCATAGTTAACTAAAAAAAGTAGAATGATTATGATCTACTGTTGTTTTTTTACTTATAGTTACCATTGATATTGACAATGTTTCTATTTAGATTCATTTGGGTTATTGGAAAAAATGTGACAATGATATATATATATAGTGTTAGTTATATCAATTCTATAGTGTGAGTAGAATGATTGGTAAGTTTAGTAATACTATTCAATGAAATAACGTTAAATAGATGATATTTTTAGGATAGTAAGATAATATAGAAAATAAATATGCTAAATCAAATAATGACAAATTATGACGATCAATTCTTAAGGATTACTTTAACTTAAGTCAAAAATAAAGATATTCACTATAGGCTTTACTAACTTACTGTTTTCTATTTAAGTTATAAGTAACATTTACAAGATTAAAGTAATGTGTACTTTTTTTTAAGGGAAAATTATATTTATAGTAATGAATTATTTATTATGTTTATAACTTTTAAATAATTCTCTAATGAGTTATAAATTATTCAGCATTATATAAAGAGAAAATATGGGAAATATTCTTAAGGGTAGCAACAATTGACTTATTTCATATTATAATAAATATTTAAATATCCTAGTAACAACTTAAAAATGTTAGTTATAATAGATTATATATTGTTGTCGTTTATCAGTTAGATAATCATTTATGGTATGAAAATTTTAAAAACTTCTAAAATAGAAAATTTAAATGAATAGGTGAAGGGGGGGGGAAAGATGTTCACATTTCAATTGGTAGTTAGTGAAACTTTTATATGACGACATTTACTCTTTTGGATATATATTCAAAGATAATTAAGGTAGATATAAAGACTTATATAATAAAAACCAGAAAATGTATGGATTTTAATTTTGTGTAATTATCAACTAGAACCAAATGTAGTTTACTTTTTCCTGTTTGTATTTTCTTTTATTCTTTATTTGTTTTTCAACTCATTACAATAATTTACATTTTCTTATTTATCTAACTTTAGCTCTGATTACTAGTGTATTGAAACACTGTGAATTATATGTTATACGTAAGTATTTGTGCAGGAAAGCAACAATTTTGAAGAAATGAAATAAATGTTTATTGTTTCATTTAAGTATACATAACACGATATCCGTCATAAAACTAATAATTGATTCTACAACATAGCCTAATCTATTATATATATATATATATATATATATATATATATATATATATATACCGACAGAGTCCCATATGAGCTACTTTAAATCACCATACGCCTCAATATAGCTTAAAGGATACATAATCTTATAAACCGGTTGCTAAATTTTAAGTTAGATATAAACAATAGCACTGTAGTGAACAGAACACGAGTTAGGACAATCGAATGTACTTGACACAAAATTACAGGACTTCTTAATAGAATCTAACAATCAAATAGTAAATACATAATTTGCAAAATGTCCATCAATTGTTTTGTAATGACTCAGACTTCATTGTTCTTGCATTTGCATACAAATTGCATTCTGTTTCCATTCTTTACTGTTCGATCCTCTTGTCTCTCTGCTGCCAGACATTCTGTTCACGACTAAAATCATCTACTACTTATGTCAATATAAGTAACACACACCACAGCACATTGATGTATTCCTTATTAGCAAATTTTAGATTGTGCACAATTAAAGCAATTTGATTAATATTTTAACTAGAAATTACATGCAACCAAGAAATATTAGACGTTAATAAGTGAACTTCAAAAAGTCTATTATTGTCCAATAGAATTTGGCATAAAATTTAGTTTCTTTCAAATATATTTTTACTTAATTTTATAACTGAACATAAGTTTAAATATAATCACTTATCAACAATAATTCTCATTTGTTTATTTAATATATAGATTTAGTCCTTATAAAGCGCTATAATATTGCGGCATGTAACATTATCTCAGGCTTGTGTTTTTTGAAATTATCACAATAAATCTAGTACTAAGTATGAATCAATTACGAAAACTTTGTCAACTTTCTTTTCTATCATCACAATCAATTTAATTCATGTTAAGTAATTATGATTTCCAACATAAAGAAAATGTTAATCAACACACAAACTAAACGTAGCCATTTGCATACAACGATATTTTCATGTGATAATAAATGAAGTGAAAAAAGCTTCTTTTAAGTGTTTCTAATATTATACTAGAAAAACTTTCAATACGTATAAAAAAAATTATGAAAACTCTATGCAAAGTCAACGAGTGATTTGATTGTATTTTATAAAGAATTTACACTTGATTAAATTATTGTGTTCAATGTTTACTTTTAAATTTCTAGGCGAATGAATCGACGCGGTTTTTTTCAAATTTATTGATTTAAGCTCGATAATCAGAAGTACAAAATTTAAACAGCTAAAAACTAAGAAGGATTATTTTATTTTTCATTTGTAGTGGTATATAATAAATGTACATATATCTTAATAGATGTTACTTTATTACATCATTATTAAATGTTTACCATTTAAATGAAGTATATTCCAATATTTCGTGACATGAAATCGTCTTGAAGTTATAGATGAATTATATAGTATAGTATAGTAATATCAGTAAAACATAAGTCTGGTCTAAGGTACTTACCTACTTACATAAAATGAAATACATAGTACGATAATGTAAAGATCTCAATAAGGATCTTATGTAAGATAATAGACAAACACTTATGAAAAAATATTGTTGTCAAAAAACTACGTCCATCCAGTTTCATATTAAGCAGGCCAATTTACTGAACTCAATCCTTTAATCGATTTGATCACTGGTTTAGTAACTGATTAATTTTTAGTGTATAATGTTCTTGGAGATCATATCAATTTTATCATTTCTGTTAATGAACGAGGTTTACATTTCTCAAACTACAACCTTCTTATTATTTTCAATGTTTATATTTTTTAGAAATATCAGTATGATTTTGAATAATGAGATAGGTTGTATAGATTTACCATCTAACCATATGTACATATATGCAATAATAATTTTTACCAATAACTACAATTACATATTCGTTATGCCCAAAACAGTTAAAGTATGATATTTCCATCCATTAATTTTGTGTTTTCTAAAAGTATGAGCAGTTGCGTAATATGTGTAAGAATGAAATAGGTGAAATTTATAAACCAGTCTAAATTTACGGGTACTTATGGAATCAAGATTATTGGAAGTAAAGAGAGAAGGCCTACTACCAGGTTTTTCGAGTAAATTCCCAGAAATCTATTTCCGAAAGACAGTAAAGTTTTCACAAATACAGTCATTATGCACTTAAAACACAGTTGACATAAATTTAGTGTCTGTTATTATTTCATAATAATAAACAATGACGGTTTCGTTTTATTCAGTTTTGAAGTGACAACTGCTATCAAACGCTTTCGGTCTGAGCTTTGATGGCAGAAAGAAAAGCGTAATAACCCTTGTTCTATCATTTTGATTATAAATGTAGTCTAATAACCTTTTTTATGATATTCTTACATTTCAAATTCCTTATTTACCCGTAACATGATCTATTTAATCTCACATGAATATGATTTTGGTTTTAAGAAATTTAAGTAATTACACAACTACTTATCATGTTAATCATAAATAAATAACCTTTTTTCATAAATATTTTTATTATCAACTACATATTAACCCTTTCTATTGTGTATTGTTATTATTCTTACTATTGTAACTATGACTCTTTATTATTATTACTGTTATTTTCAACGCATAGATACGTATCATTATTAACCATATTTACTGATACATTTTATAGCCAAATTTCCTTCGATTATCATTTTAGATACTTTTACAAATATCGTCAAAATTTCATAAATGAAAGTATAAAGAAATCATTTTATTCAGCAAACCTGTAATTATTCTTGTCACTTTACTTGGACAAAACACGCGTCTTAGATTCCAGTACTAATCACTATCCATCTTTGTTTAAAAATTCTTGTAACTGTTTAAATCAATTAAACTCAATTTAAGCCTTTTATTTAAAAATAAACTCTACATTAACTATTCACGTACAAATTTAGTCAAGCAAATCTGTCTACAATTTGATTAAATCTGAATAGTTTACATGTTTATTCACAATTAGTATACTTCATATGATTAGATATTTTTTCTGTCATTTGTTTGTCAGTTCCACATGAAATATTAACATTATGACATTTTAAGCTAAAGACTATGAAGATATGAAGCAGAACATTCCCAAAATTTTCTTTACACAAAATAGAAAAACAAAAAAAATTACGTATTAATTTTTGCTATTCCATTTAATATATGAATAAGTAAACTTCACATTCTACGATACCTTGAAATAGCATAAAACTTTTAAACCAATAACTATTAAAATAATCACAGTTTACATCATCCATATATCTCATGTAAATAATCGCTGAAATTCCAGAAGTACTGAATAGATATTTAGTTCAAGTAGAGAACTCTTTGACAGTATCTAATCATGATGTCATCTGAGATTGAATGATGTAAACTATGGAAATTTTATCATCTCAATTAAACTACTATAATGATAACCATTAGAATAAATAATTTAAAAAAATAATGAAAAGTAATATTTGTACCAGACTTACAGTTTCATATTTTTTTAAAAGTCTAGTTACTCTAAATGATATAACTGGTTCGTCTTGAGCTAAAGTTAATTTATACACTAGAAATTTGTTATATAGACTTTCTTTTGGTATATATATATATCTTATATGATATTGGTTTTAGTAGGAACCAATATAATTATGATGTAAAAGGGGTTATTAGTGTTAATAACAGTTTTGGTAGCATTGGTGACAGACATTTTAATAAGGCTGTGATACTAACAGTTATACAAACAAAGACTAATTATTACATAATAGGTATAATGTAAGTAAGTGGATGAAGACATATAAAATTGAATCGTTAAATAAGCAATTGACTAAAGACATATAGTGAAATATTGTGTTAAACAAAAGCTTTAATATGTAGCATTTTTTTGATTGGTTTATAAATCAATGTGGAGGGGGGAGATGATTATGCATTATAGTGTTGTCTTTTATCCAATTGTAGAATTTTTGAAGTTAATTAAATAAAATAAAAATAAATTTAGAATAAAAAAATAAAATAACTAAAAATTAGTTATGTTACATCCTAAATTGATTGTTTTCTATTTGGTGATAATCAAAATTAAAGAAAAACCCGCTTATTTTCTATAATGTTGATGATTAATTTGATAAAGCATTATATTTCATTAGTGTTATGTGTACAGTTTTTAAAATATATAGAATCAACTTTCAATTAAAATATTACTTTATATAATTATTTTCAGACGGGGTTGTGTGGAGATTACAGTAACTTTAATAGTTGGGATCATGAGTCAGTTGAAGCTAGACCATCATGGAAAACCTGGAAGCACTGTATGGCTGTTTCATCCTAGAATGAGACTCCTCAGCAGTACACATCCATGATCTCGCCCCCCCTGCGAGATTCGAACCCGCGATCTACCAGTCTCTTGCGCGAATACTTAACCACCAGATCACTGACACGGCCGGCATCCAATGGTGTTAGTGTCAAAATTCAACTAATCCACGAAATTGAGAGACATATCCACCACTGTCATCAGTGAGTTACTATCTCACAACAGACCTGGTTGAACTCCACTGGTCACTGCTTTTCATTAGAAGTTTAGGAAATATCTCTTGAGGCCAGTTACTGATGCGCTTATGTTGATTATAATGAGAAGGGGTTTTGTGGATATCGAAGTTATTACAATCTCCACAAAACTCCTTCTGATACTAATCCCACAATAGGACGAAACGGCCATCCAGTGCCTCCAGGTTTTCCATGGTAGTCTAGCTTCAATTGACTCATGACCTCAACTATTGAAATAACTATTTTCAGTATACAAAAATACTTAGATTGTGTCAAGTTTCTGTAATAGTATAAATATAACCAGTATCATTATCATTACTTCGTTTATAGAAAAAGAATATTTTAAATGTGATAGAATTTTTTGATAACTTTTACTCAGATAGTTTTCTATAACCTTGATTAATGGTTACCAAGAGTTTGATTTTCTAAAGATGAATTCAATATGGTTTTTGTTGTTTTCATTACACCTTAATTAGATTACGTCGAACTACGTAAAATTAATGCATAAATTCTATGTAAGAATTCATGAAAACTTAAGGCAGTGTAATAAAATAAAGATTGTATAGTTTATTGTGCTTATTTTTTTGTACACTATTTAAAACTTAGATTTCCATTTCCTTATTTTAATGAATCATTTCCGATAAACGCAACTGAACGGAAATTTTCATCACTGCGTAGTATCAACTGTACGACTGCAGAACAAATCATTGGCTGCCAATGAGTTGTTTCAGTTTGGTTTTAAATGTGTCAGTAGCATGTACTTGTAACCCGTAAAGTGATTCGCAATTTCTTTCTTCATTTCCTGTTATAACTAGAGTAAATGATATCAAAGCTAAAAATTCTGAAATTTCAGATTTCAATTAGTTGTTTTAAACAGATCTTTTTGATGGAGCACAAAAACGTTTTCCTGCAGTTTGTGCTGATGATATCATTCGGAAGAAAGATGAAAGCTCCACGACCAAACTGTCCAGCTCAGAGAACAAAACTCTTTAAAAATCATTCACCTGAGCTATAAATCTTATCATCTCAAACAGATCTTCTTTATAGCAAAGTATTAAGTCTTTAGGTTCGACATCATATTAGGTTATGTGTTTAGGGTGCTCGGAAGACTAGAACAAAATAGTTATCCACTGTTAATTCATTTTTATTGATTTTACTAAGTGGCAGTAAACTATTTTTAAGGACCTTAAAATTACGTCAATTGTTTGAATTTACGTATCTTTTGAACGGTTTCCACATTAAATTTTTCAGGATAATTTCTAGGATGTTTTAATTTTATAAACAATATTGATTTTAAAGTTGTTTTATTTTATTTATATTAGTAATACTTTACGTGTTTCGTTGATAAACACTTTTTAACTGCACGTGCAACTGTTCTGCTGAATCAAAAGTATGAAATTATCTTCGTCTTTAGAAGATGAACAATATTTTTAAGTCTGTATATCAATAAAAAGTTTGACTATGTATATTGTGTGGCCAATATAATACATTCCAGATAATTTAATCTTCTCATCAAGCATTTGTAATCACTTACTTACGTGTGTTACTTCTTAAGGAGGAGCATACGTCGCCCACCAGTACTCTCCATCCAACCCTGTCATGGGCAATCCGTTCCAGCTCTTCCCACTTGTTATTCATCCTTTTCATATCTGCTTCTATTTCTCGACGTAATGTGTTCTTTGACCTTCCTCTTTTCCGCCTTCGTTCAGGATTCCAAGTTAAGGCTTGTCTCGTTATGCAGTCTGATGATTGGAGTAATGTGTGTCCTATCCATTTCCATCGTCCTTTCCTAATTTTTTCTTCAGATGTAAGCTGGTTTGTTTTCTCCCACAGTAGGCTATTGCTGATGGTATCCGGCCAATGGATGTTGAGTATCTTGCGTAGACAACTATTTATAAATACTTGTACCTTCTTGATGGTTGTTGTTGTAGTTCTCCAAGTTTCAGCTCCATACAGTAGAACTGCCTTGACGTTGGTATTGAAGATTCTCACTTTGATATTGGTTGAAAGTTGTTTTGAGTTCCATATGTTCTTCAATTGAAGAAATGCAGTCCTTGCTTTACAAAGAATTTATATAGCTGAATATTTTCCAGTAATGATAACTTTATTTCCAGATAGAAATCATATCAACAATTACTTTGATTTCAGATAATTATGTGACATATAAATTTATACAGCAAATGGAATGAAATAAGTTGACTGAATATTAACAAACTGACATAGAATAATAATTTAACAGTTTCCTGTTGATCAAATTAATGAATAATCGTAGAAGGAAAGATATTTTTTTTTAAAAATGCCAACCTAATTGAAAAAGAAATGAGTAATTGAATTATATGAGAAAGGTATCAAATAAGGAAATGAACTTATCGGTTACATTAATGTATAGACTATAGTCATAATAGATCGGTTGATTGGACTGTTTATTGATTAGCTTATGGATAAAATGTATAGAAATATAGTTAATATATTGAATTATTTTATTAGTTACTTCGAGAACTAAATAAAAATATAAAATGAATAGTTATCCTTACTAAAGTTTAATTTATTGATTACAAATAAATTAATTACTGGGTAGGTTGTTATTAATACAGAAATGATAATATAGTTGTAATATCCCCGTGAGTAAAAAAAAGAACTAAATGTTTTGACGTTTCATGACTCAGTGTGAACCACTTATTCAAGGAATAAATAAACAAATTAAATTAACCCACGTTTAAATAGTACAGATGGACAAAGCATAAATATTTAGTACGATCAACAACAAAAAAAATAGGTCTCGCTAACTCAATGTCATGTCAGTTTAGTCAAAGTGTATTGTGTGAGGCATGTTTGTATATTTATGTGGGTGCTAATGTGTGAAAAACATGATAATGATAGTGTTAAATAATGAAACTGAGTTTATATAAATGATAATAGTGTGTGAATAGGATTAGATAAAGTAGCTCGGATGAATGGTGCAAGTCGGATGAACAGTAAGTCCTTTTCTTTTGAAGCTAGTAGGATTTAACAATAGATAGAAAGTTTAAACTATTCGCCTTTGTTATTGGAAAAGCGTTCTTGCATTATTTTGATATTTCTAATATCGACTTGATGGTTAATAAAAATGTCATCCACGGCGAAATGTCAGAAAATTTAATTTTTCTACTCAATGAGATATTACAAATAATTTTTCACGTAAAACTGAAGGCCCTAAGTTCGAATCTCGCGAACAGGATCGTGGATACGCCCTACTAGAAAGTCCCACAATAAAACGAAATGGCCGTCCAGTGCTTCCGGGTTTTCAATAGTGGTCTAAAGTCAATCGGTTCATGATCTCAATCAAAAACTCAATAATCTCCACAACCCCTGTACTGATATTTTTTTATTCATAAAATGAGTACTTGGTCATTTCAATAAGACTTCATTATGTTGTTCTAATGTGAGATAAAATTCATTGTCTCAATTTCGATTAATCAAAGAATGTATCGACTTCGGATACATATATATATAACAATTCAACTCCACATCATGCTTCAGATATATTTAAATTCCAATAAGTTCTTACAATGTATTCACTAAATCAGCTATAAGACACATAGTAATGTTTCATGATCTAAAAAGTTGGTATAAAAAAGAAATATATAGTAATCTACTTTATTTTTCTCTACTCCCTTCCTCTTTCATGTTAAGACTTAACTGTAACTTACTGAAACATACGTTCATTTATAGTAATTTGGTAAGCTTATTTTTGCTTTATAGATATTGACAATGAATTTATTTGATTAGTAATTTGATCATTGTTGAACAGTTTAATGACTAGGCATAGTATTCTAGTGAATTTTAATGTTGTATGGTTTGTTTGTTCTCAGTGTTAATTTCTAATGCAGATGCTTTTTTCAAACTTATAAACTACAGGAACTGATACTATTTAAACTACTGGTTTAAGTAGTTATTCCTAAAAGAAATTTCTTTCAGTTA